ACCAGAGGAAATCAGAGGCTTGCAGGAAGCGCAGCCTCCTGAAAAAGGAGGAATGGAGCTGAACAAGACACATGCAGCATCCAGAAACTCTGAATTAGGAACAGCTCAGTTAAAGACACACTTAACTACAGTTATATTAAAAATGCAACCTAAATTATAAAATTGTGCCCAATGTATGAACAAAGATGATATTTCAGGCTGTCTCCCATAGCTGGAGCAAAAACATCACCAGAAGCTCAAGGGCAGAAGGTAGGGGTGGGTTAGTGAYGATGGCTTTCAGAAATGCGAACACTGAGAGTTTCTGAATCACTGCAAGATAAAAAAATTGACTGTGTCTTCCACACAGGATTACCAAGCAGGATTAAGAATGCTTTTCTGCTTCAACAGGACATTAAAGGGCAGCTTCAGAGCCCTGGTTGAGGTCTCCCCTCATCTGAGGGGTCTGGACTTTCAGAGTTGGCTCTTTCAGGTATGGCCTCAGTCTCCAAGCACAGTGAAAATTAGTAAATTTTCTAGTTTTTGCCCTTAGCCTCTTCAACACGGCCATGCCAAAAGAGATGCAGGTTTTCTTCTTCCTCCCGAAACATAGCACCAGGCGTAACAGTTTCCAGCACAACCAACTGAGCAAGCCAATTAGTCMTGAGCACTAATGAGAACAGTGGGCAGCTGTCAAGCTTATATGTAACCACCACGCAGCTCAGGCCCAGGCAGAGGAGGAAACTCAGGGCTTGTCTATGCAAATATGGAAGATGTGGAAACGCTCCAGACACGTCTTTAACAGGTCTTAGGCTGCAAGAGCCAACTCGGTGCAGGAGCACGTGGGTCCTGCTCGCCCAAGCTTTACAACTACATGAGCAACAGGCGAAGTTCCTGCCACACCGCTAAGAACAACACTGACAATTTCTCATCAGCCTGCAAAGGCTTTTACAAGCTTTTAACAGCCTCTGCTCTATTGGAACATAACTGAGAGCTAACTTCTCACTGATCCGAGACTGCTGATTAGCCTTCTGTATCTACAAGCAACAAAATCTTTCTCAGTCACAGGCGAGTTCAAGACTTAAATAACAGCAGATACTAAACAGTAATTAGTAGCTACAATATGCAGAACTAGCTAACAGGATACACTGCTAATTTCAATGTAATAAAGTAATGATATCATTAAGGAAAAAAAAGCTTCCATTTCTTCTTTATCGCGGCTTTTGCTTCAGCGCTTTGGAAGCTCGAGAGGCAGCGCTTGGGAGCCGCCACTGCCTCCTCCCTACAGCCCAGGAAAACCAGGAGCCAACCCTCCCGATTCTGGTGCACTTGGGGCTCTACATCCTGCAGAAGGCCACTGCTTGGAAGCTGCAGCACGCCTCTTCTGTGTCCCATTGGCTATTTAGTACACCCATTTCTATCACCATCCTTGCAGAAGGAAGCAGATGTTTCTCCAAACATTTACAGCATCCAGCCTGTACATATGCACCCATGTTTGGTGAAAATATGAGTACGTTTCAGGCTTGGCATGGGGAAGAAGATAGTTGAGATTTCTTTTACAAAAGACCATGATTTTAAGTTAAAAAAAAAAAAAAAAGAAAATTACATCCCATGAAAGCACAACTGTGGAACACTGATTAAAGTGAGCACTGAGTCATCTAATTGCATTCATAATTTAATCTTGCTAAATAACAGACCAAGGGAGACTGATATTTACCTGGTAATTTTACCTAAATGCAAAACCAGAATCAGCACCGTCTCTGAGCACRCACTCCCGCATGCCAAATCTCGGAAGTGAAGCTTGAATGACTCAAGGATTTTGCCTTTAGCTTTTTTAGAATCAGTGAAACTAACAGCAGTCGAAAGAACCTACAAAAAAATCAAAAAAAAAAAAAAAAAAAAAANAAAAAAAAAAAAAAAAAAAAAAAAGCAAAAGCCCACATACACCCACACTCCAAAGTTCCTACCTTGAATTTACTTCCTATTGGATGAATTAATTTAATATTCCACTGTAACTTGCCTGGTAACTACAGAGCAACAACAACAGGTTTAATATATCTTGATATCATATACATAGATGATCTCAGAGGTCCCTTCCAACCTCAACCATTCCGTGATTCTGTGACTCAGTAGGCTGTGAACAAACAGCACCACTTGTTATTCAAAGCAAGGGTGCCAAGTCCTACGTCCTCCATCGCCGTGGCTGTTCTTACTGGAGGAGCACATGCTGTTTCGCAGCCTGTGAAGCTGCTGTGCGTTGTGGACTCCTGCCCAGCAGCACCCTGCAAGCACCACCTACACTGCAAGGGCAGCCGGGTGACGAGTGAGCCGGGCGCAACCACGGTGCCTACGGCAGAGAATCTAGCGGAATTCCGAGAAGCGCACACAAGAGGAAYGATGGAGTTGACAGGACAGTTGATGGGCTGCTGGCGAGCTGAGCCCTGCCTGCACAAACGCCTTAGGAAGTGGCTCCAGACCGAGGGGGAGCTGCAGGCCCGCGAGGGGCGGAGGAGCAGGAAACACTGCCGGGTCCTGCACCGGCCACACGAGCGGCTCCCACGCGCGCTCGCGAGCCCGACGCGGAGCGCAGGTCAGCGCCATCCCGCAGAACCGCGTGCACGGCTAGCCGCGCGTCCCGCCAACATCTGCACCCCGGCTGCTCAACCCTGCTGGACACGAGCAGGAAACAGCCTGAAAAAAGCAGGGAACGGACTACGACAATGCAGCAGCAAAAATTCTCAGAATTAGACTTTTTAAAACAGGCTCAATTTACTAATAAAGCAGTTAATCTTGCTTCTCAGTAATCAAAGGTAGAGTTATCAATAACAGGCTCTTAAGTTTGTGTTTACACATAGCAGATTCTATAGCAGAATATGGTTATTGTCAAAAAACAAAACAGAACAGCCACACACACAAAAAACCCCACACATCTTTGCAGATGTTCCTGCCAAGCAATCCAGGCCAGCTGGGTGAGCGACCAGACCATGTAGCTGGGGAAAGGACACCTTCTCCAGATCTTTTCCCTGATGCTCTCCTGATATTTTTAGGAGCAATGAATCTCCCTGCTCACACAGTACCTGAAGTAAAGTAACCACAGTTTAATATCAACAGAGCAGAGGCAGACTGTCACGCTTCATAAACACAGGTTGCTTGCTTTGGGTACAAACTCTCAAAGTTTAGCTTATCCCAAAACTCACCTGAAACTAACACCACAATCCCCCAACGAAAATAGTGTCAGTATTGAAGTTAATAAGAGGCCTCTTTCTGATATGGTTCAATTGCAAAGTTAATCCAACCTAGAAGAACACACACTTTGCATGTCTACTCTATTACTGTTTCTATTCTTTCAATTGTTGGCAGGAAAATAAAAGCTCAAATACAGCTCCAGGCAGACTTTCAGTGCTCCTCCCAAGAGGAATCTCTATTCAATTGATAGATCTCGCTTCTCAGAATGAAATTATAATTAATGCTAATACTTTGTAATTACTAGCTATAACTGCAAGATATGCTGATTTCTGGATGGGTATCAGGGAAATGTATTGAAAGCTGACTATATCATACCTGTAAAACACTAAAAAGTGGTGGCAGTTCCCACTTGAAGTACTTCAAAATACACTGCAAGGGGGGGAAACACAACGTGAGACAAGCAACAGTCTTGCTCTGCAGGAAAGCTGAGACAACCTACGGAACACTATAGAGATCTTATTCATACTCAAGTCTTTTGTGATCCAACCAAAGAAAGGCAAGGTAGCACACAAGAAAGAACAATCTTGCCTAACAAAAACCTACTTTGGCTTCAGGACCATGACCGTTTTAGCAGAACCAAACACTAACAGGATTGTTTCTCAGTACATTTAAGACTCATGGTCAGACCCTAAGCTGTCTAGTCAAAAGGTCAGCCGTTTCATGTGGCAACTTAACTGGATGTTGTAACCGACTGCATTCTAATGTAGTTCTGCACCTGCACCTTCTGGGAGAGGAGGAGAAGGCAACCAGATGCAACACTCGTTCATATGCAATCTCATAATATAGAACATGACATAGCCAGATGAATACAACTACTGCCTCTGCAAGTTTCTAGCAACTGTGACACCAACTGGCAAAAAACACTCCAGGGCTAAGGTCTCCAGGGCTGGAGCTAAAAGCTAGACAAAGAATGCATTCTTCATTACTGTATACTCATCAGGTTTAAGGAACAGTCTCATAGAAGTCTGAGGTGTCTCACCAGAGAAGCTGTCTCCAACACCCGTAAGACGATAGATGTTTTTAGCATCTGAATTTAGTAATATAAATCAGAAGAGGAAAAAAAAAAAAAGAATTAAACCTTAGATGAGAAAGGTAGTTTTTCAGAAGAAGCACTTTAACCGAGTTGCTGTGGGAAAGGGCAGACACGGTGCCCGTGCCGCCCRACGGCACCAGCGAGGCCACACGGAGCGCTGCGCACCGCGGGGCGCCGCGGACGCGTCTCCGCACACGCGGACCCGCTCGGAGACACGGCGCGGTCCCACAGCCCGGGGCAGCCGCGCTGGCCCAAACCAGCCAGTCACCCGCGCACTGCGGTTGACTCAAGCTAGATTTACTGTCATCACGGCCTCTCAGCAGCCTAATATACTACAACTCCATTCATTCAAACCAGAAGTCCTTATTTTTATAAAATACATAATAAAATGAGAGGGAGAAAAAAGTAATCAAGTAAATACACGGTGTTGTTACAGCAAGCAGTTACTAGCAAGGACTACTTCATTTGCTGCCCTTTCCATCCTTCCTCGTTTGTCCATGGTGCACCACCCTACCAACCCAACATGTTTCAAGAGCAGCAGTTTCATTTCAGTGAGATCAAAGCTAAGCACCTGCCACGTGAGAAAAGAGCTAATGCTGGGATCTTTTTAAGCTCTTTGCTTCACCACTGAAGAATATATGGAACACAGTAGCATACTGTTTGCTGAAAGAAACTTGCTTTTAGAAACATTTAAGAAAACATACAAGCAGGTGATAAAGACCAAAGGTAAATCCAAGCAACTTACTGCTGCTGCTGAGGCCTCCTCTCCACCTATATAGATAGAAGAAGCTATCTCCATCACAGACAAGTTGGTGGGAGCATCAGTAGTAGATGACGATCTGGGCCGACCTGATTGAGTATCTTGGGCAGATCTCCTGTTGATCTGAGGGCTTCCTTTTGGAGGGTCCATCTTGCCCCGCCTGCTGTGCAGGCTTGTCCCTCTCTTCATTTTAGGTGGCACTCTGATCTGCTGAAGCACTCGATTCAGAGCTGTGGGGTGGGTGGAGACACCATCAATTTCAGCACAGGCGCTTTGGTTTTCCAAATCCATTTCAGCCTCCAGATCAGCCTGAACTTGCTGAACATCATGGGGAGAAACTGAGGACCTCCTGCGCTGGTGCTGGAAAAGGTGCTTCAAGCCTTGACCAATCACATTAATGTTCTCCAAAGCATTATGCGTTATTTTGGATAATTTTTGCTCTGATTCATGCTGTTTTTTGGTCTCGGTATCTTGGGATTTGCCTCCAGGATCAGGGTCATCACACATCTGTTCATTGCCAGAGGGCTCCATTGATGACACTCAACAGGCCTATTGGACTATTCATATATAAACAGGTCCCCCTCTTTTAAAAGGCTTGCGTTTGTTTTAAAAATGCCAAGATTGTCAGCCAATTAGGTGTGCAATTGCTTCAAGAGTGACTACACATGCAGCTGTGCCACGGTGATCTCATGCTTATCTAATGTTAAACAAAAGAGCCATTATTATACATCCATGCAGAAAGTAGTGGGTTAAAAAATTCAATGAGCAAAACATGCCATTAACAACATAAAATACATCAGTTTTCCAAGCATCCTTCAGTCATGGTATTAGTTGCATATAGGCTGTATGCAGAGGCCAAAGCTTTCAGGGAAAAGTCATTTACTGCCTAGGGAAAGAAGCCCAGCACAAACTATGCAGGGAAGGAAGAAAAGTAAAAATGCTGGTCTCAAAGGGGAAGCAAGGGAAAAAAACAGCTCTGTTCTAAGAACAGAGCCCATAATAATACCTAAGAGAACATGAGGTTAGACTTCTGTAGATTCTGTACCATGTTACTCTTTGGCAGAATTAATTTTGTTTCTTATCAAAGATTTGATCTTGTGCTTTAAATGTCATGCCTGTTCTACCTACCTGATTTTCCTGTGGAATGCCTAAATTCACACAATTCATATATGCAAGAAACCAGAACATTTCCAAATCAGTTACGCTGCTTTTCCAAATTGTAAGAAATGGCTCATTATTGCCAGCACCCAGCAATGGCATTGGCAACCAGATGTGATAATCTGTCTTCAAGCAAGAAAAGGCAAGCACAAATGTTTCAGTAGGAATAATAATCTTGTCCACAATTTTCAGTGAAATTAGAAAACACTTTTTAAAAGGCAGATTTAAAAGACAGTGACAGACCTAAAAGGGAAATGGCAGCTACACCGTGTATCTGTAGCTCAACCTCCAATGGAGAGAAATCATGTAATTTTTCCCCAGAAGATCTCAACCTCACCTCTCATACCAGTCTGGGCTCAGGCAGTTGGTTACACTACCTCCAGCAGCATAGTACATAGTAACACACTACTGGAGAAGTGCAGCACGGGAAAGAGGAAGGAAGGACACAGTATCTGGAAGAGTTTCACATCTGCACCATGAGATCACATGCTCGGAAGCTGATCATTGTTTTCTTGCAGGAGAAAGTTTTGATTCTATAAATACAGAACCCAGATCACAAAGGTCCACTTCAATCTTGGCAGGAGGCAGTCTGAGCTTTAAAAAAACATTTTATTTAAAATGCAACATATATTTGGGGTACAAGCACATTCGGTTCTATCTTAAAACAGCTGCAGAAGCATAATGCATTGAGATTATGATTACAGAGCCCTCAATTTTGTGCACCTGAAGCCTGACACAAGAGGTGAAGTAGATATTCCAAAACATTCTGCAAATTGGCATCCAAAAAATATCAAAAGAGCTGCCTCACTTTTTCAAACATCTTAGCTATCAGCCGGAGGAGAGATAAAATTCACTACATATAAAAAGCGAAACAATGGAATATATATGTCTGTATATATATACACACAGAAGAATACACACACGTAAGTTCTTTATATGCGCGCACGCGGACACACACACAAATATTTTGAAAACGCTAAAACATTGAGTCTCAATTTATTAATGAATACCCCATCAGGTTAAGAAAACCATTAAAAGCAAAGTAATAAACTTCAGCCAAAAAAAATGAGGTTATTTATTCATATTCATGCAGAAATTCTGTGACTAAATCAGACATATTTACCTTCTACTGTTGTGTACTTAACATACTTCCTTAAATTACTTTGTCTTTATAGCTAATACCATATTTGGATTTTTCAATCTCTTATTTTGAATATTGTTTTTACTTTTTCTAATGCAAGAAAGTTGAAGTATAGGTCTCTACAATATGGCTCAGGGAAAAAGTCTTAGCGAATAGCAACAGTCCTGGATCCGATGGATAAAAGACAGCTTGACAGCTGACCTATGACTGCCTTTATTTTGGCAATTCACTGGTATTTATTTTTCTGAACAGTAGCTTTCTATCAGATTTTAACGCAACAGTGGTGATCATAAAGATCATAATTTCAGTCTAACTAGAAATTCATGCATCATTTTGGTGAAAACCAATCATCTGCTTCATTCAGACCTCTTACATAGATACCAATCTGATACATATGGGGCTACATTCAATTCACAAACAAGTCACTACTGCCTTCTGTATTCTGCAATTGATTTCTGAAATTACACTGACTTGTATTTTTAAGAGGTTCCTCCAGGAGCTTTGTGAACATCTGTCTATTCATATTTCCATTTGATAAATCTAGTGTGAGCCTGAAAGAGCTTTTAGGATTTCTGAGAGGAAATTGCCCAAACTATTAATTTGTCCTACTATCTACTTTAAGGGAAAAACAGAATAAGATAATTCAGAATTCTAAGAACTATGAAATGTACTAATTGGTTTTTTTTGCTAATTATGTGCCTCAGTATTCAGGTTTTGTGCTTGGTTTTCCATTTATAAAAGCCTTTATATTCTCTGTTTCAGAGAGAGAATCAAATAGACCACCTTTCGGCATAAAGCTCAGGAACACACGTTTCTGTTTCCTATGTACAGTGCATGGGGGCAAAACTAATTATTATTTTCAGTCACAGTGAGCAAAAGATGCTATAATGTTATTACTTCACAGAATATGATCATATCGTCCTTCATTTTGCACTTAYTTCACTGGGACACAAAACTGTTCAGAAGGAGAAACTGCCAAATTGAGATTAGATAAGTACAAATATAAAAACCAGTACTTGCCTCCATCAGTTGTCCTTAAGCTTGGCTGACATCTGGGGTCCCTCTGCTAAGGGAAACTGCAAAAGAAATTAGACATGAGAAGCAAATTTTGGGAAGRAGAAGAAAGATGCACAAACAATAAAGCAAGGATTCTTTCAACTTGTGCCTTTTTTCATTTAAAGGAATCTGCCCTAGAAGCTGCAATATTTTAAACTCTCAGATAGCTGGAAGAATAAAACCCCTAATGATGTTAAAACCAAACCTTATGGGATTAACCACAAAGTTTTTYGAGGAAGAATGTTAGTTCTAAGGATTTATGGCCACCAGTAGGTGCCAAAGCACAGCTAGCTTTCCGGCTACAGCCTGCAAGGACAGACCGGTCTGGTCTGCAAAACTTGTTTTCTCCTGTTTATTCATTCAGGCAGCCCAGGCACAGGCTGCGCAGCTTTGCCCTTGTTTACCTGGGGCTCAGGCGCCGCGACGCGAGGGCTGCGGGCGCTCTGAAGCGCGAGTGCCTCTGCACATGCGGCTCAAGCGACGCCCCTGCAAGGCGGCCGCGCGCAGCGGGCAGAGCCGCGGCGCCAGCCCTGTGAACAGGTATCGGGGACAGCCCCGGCACTCAGCACCCCAACCCGCCGCGTGACAAGCAGCACCAGGAGCCGCACCTCACTGAGGCCAGCGCCAGGGATGCGATGCTCATGTCCACCCCTGGCAAAGGGCCCGTGGCAGCATCGCTGCCCTAGAGGAAAGGGCCACGCATTTCAGAGGCATTTTGATGACGGCCTTGCCGGCTCCAGGCCAAGGCCCACGTAAGGATGGAGGTTGCTAGGGGGGGCACCCTTAGAAGATGGTGACCGGGCGGCTGACGCTGACAAACTGAGCGCCCTTCTGCAGCAAAGCTTGTGGGGGTAGCCCAGGTGCCAGCCTGAAACACGGCTAAAACACCCAACCTTCTGAAGGCAACTTGTTACTCATTAGCTCTTGAGGACAGTAACACAAGCCTTAAGGCCATACTTGCCTAATGAGTCTTTTATTTGGCACGGACTGACCCTTGGTGTTCTGCTAAGACCAAAAAACACCTTTTTTATTATTTATTTCTCTCATTGTATCAATATGCAAAAAAATACACTTCAGCAATGGCTAATCAGGACCTACAGCACTTTGGTAACCCTTCTCAAGGCCGAATTTTCAGTAACAATCTTTAAATTAGTTATGGAAATAGCTAGATCCTCACTGCTTAAACATTTGCACAAAGGTTTTAGGGGCATTTGAGCTGTTTGAGATGAAGTCAAGATTTGAAATAAACCTTTGATCATACATGAAAATTGCATTTGGCAGTCGGTTAAACTTCCAAAAGGAAAGGCCTTAAATATAAGGAAACCCATCATTAACTACTCTAGACAGCTTCAGCAAAGCTGAAGGAGTAAGGTGGTCAAGATGAAGTACCATGTTATCAACAAAGATGATCCTCCCCTAGGTGCAGGGCACAGGAACACAGGATGAATTGTTCTCTCTTCTATTTAAAGCACTTCACATCTCAGAGCCCTTATTCATATTTATTACATTTTATTGCAGAATAAAAATGAAGCAAGCTTCACAATACATTAAGACTCAGTGGATTACTACAAACCACTGCACAAGTGGGGGATTTGGACTACTACACATTTCAGATCTGCATCTCCAGGAATACAGAAAGAAAATTAATTAGAAACATTTGAACAGGATGCTAGAATGCGAACAAGGAAGCGATGACAGCAAATACTACAAGATTAGGAGAAAAGTGATACACGGAAGATGAAAGCATTTTTGAAAATGGTCTTACTGTGGAAGACACTCCATTTCTACAACAGGGTGAGCGGAGAATTAAGCAGTGTGCGTCACAGGACAGCGAACGTGCGAGGCACTGCCCAGAGTTCTGCCAGGCAGGTTTTCAGGGATAGCAGAGGCTTCCAACCTGCTCCAGCTCCCAGCCTGGACACCGCACAGTCCGCGACCACAGTCCCCACAGGACGGCTTTGAGACACACAGTCACAACAAATACGATTCTCCCTTTGTGAATCAGAGCCTCTAATGATAAATACCAACGATTTCTCACTTTCTAACGGCAACTCAGTGCTTCTTCTGAATTTTCAAAAACTGCTGAACTGCTCTGACTGGAGTTTTTCCACCTTCCTGTACTGCTGAAGAATGGGCAGAACTCAGATGCCACCTTGTTTTCATAAGGGCAGCAGCCGTCCCGCAGAGCCACGCGATCAGCAGCAGCGCTGCTGACTGTTAGAGAGAACGAGGAGGGCAGGATTGGGAAACGGTGTTGCTGGTGCTGCTTCGCTCCAGGAGGAGCTCCTGGGAGGAAAGAAAACTGCCTCTTCCATTTGTTCTGTATAACTACTTCCCTCAAACACTACATAGCATGAGAATGTGCCAGGAATTTGTCATGCATTTAAGATCAAGATCAGAAGTCAAAAAAGGTCCTGCCCTATTAGATTTTGGTTAAACTGTATTCAAGTAAACCTTGACTCTAAATGAATACCCTTCAGAAATACAATTATTTGCAAGTAAAATGATCCTTAAAGCCACCACTGAAATACAGCTCAGGACTGACATTTGAAGTGTGAGTGCCTGTTACAGACACAAACAGCACAAAACTACAGAAATGAGGAACAAAAAGTATTTTCAATAAAACACAAAAGATGTTGGCTTTTTTGCAGAATATCTATTATTTGTGTAGTATCTGAATATTTGAAACACTTACCAGTAATGTTCACATACAGCTAAAGAACTCTCACATTTGTTTCACTACATAAAATGCTCAGATTAATGTGTCATCATAGAGTTGTCGTCTATAGTTCACAGGGATCTTACATAAACACTTTAGTTGCTCTTGCTTGGCAAAAAGCACATGTTTTTAAGTTGCCTCAAAAGAGGGATATCTTTTATTAAGAGCCTAGCTCTCCTTGAGAAAGCCCTGATTATTTTGAGAAACTCATCTCAAAGATGATACAATAAAGTAAACAACTGGACAAAAGATTGACCTGACAGCAGCCACATACAGGAAAAAAAAACACTCCTGGAACTGGGAATCCTAGAGAGCAGTTTATGTCCATGGAAGGATAACGGCATTTTTAATGTACTGCTATACAGCAGGAACAGGCAGCAGAGCAAATAGGGAGAAGCCTTGGGTGTTTATAAGCAACTTGCCAGAAAGAAGGGCAGGGGCAGCACCCCAAAGGCAGTTATGCTGGAGGGGCAGCTGGGCTGCCCCAGGGAACTCACCAATTTAACACACAGGACTTGGGATGAGACCAAACCACCCAGTCCAGCAAGACTGAAGGTACTGGGCGAAGAAAAACTGCATCAACAGGAATGACACAAGCACAGCACGGGACTGATAAATCAGTTTTTAAGCCAGTTGTGCAGGGTTTCAGGGCAAAAGCAAGATATTAAAGTAAAAATAAGTTCACTGATTGCTACCTAACATTTTTCCTATATCCTCCAACCTATTCATGATCTTACCCAGAAGTCAAGCAGGAGATCAGCTGAATGACCCCTTCTCAAAGCAGAGATTCTGCAGGGACAGCTTGGTGGACAAAACGAGAGACCAGATTTCTGCRAATAAACTAGCTTTGGCATGGAAATCAAAGCAGCGCATTTCAGAGGCTATTCCTTTAGACCTATAAAGGTATTACAAGGTTAAGGCTGTGCAGCTGCTCCAGAGCTGGTACTCCATAATGGTCTCACTGTAGGACAATGTCCCTGGCTCTTCAGCTTAAATTATTTTTTGTTCTTCTTTTTAAAAAGAAGCACTGGTTAAATTTAACACACTTTTTCACCTTGAGTTCTGTAGCTGTATAAAGTACTTGCAGGTTTGCATTACCATAGGAGGTGAATAAGATTATGTATTTACCCATGGTACACTCCTACTTTATAGTCAGTTGCAATTATTTCTTTAGATTTCACATGCAGAACAAACACAGAAAGGTCAAGTAGCTGCCTCAGGTTGCATAAGGCTTCTGGAGCATAAAACTGAACTTAAGCCTTATCCCTGTGAGGTGAATGCCATTTTGACAGGTTGCTTCACTGCTGCCTCCTTTGCACTGGCTTACGAACAGACCAGAGACTCGACACAGGCTATTTTCCATCACATTACAAAGCCAGTGCCTCACAGAAGTTAAATCTAGAGTAAAGAATGATCAACTAGAACCTTTCAATGTGAACTTTGTGAATATTTGCCAATATTCACAGTTGCACACATGAATACATTTCCTATAATTTTTGTGAATGGACTTAAAGGTGCAGAGACAACAATAAGAATGAAGCTTGCAGATATCTTAGAGTAAAAACAAATACAATGGGTTTTTTTTATCTACAAAGATCTCTAATAAAAGCTATTGGTTTTACAAAACACAAAAAGAAAATGACTTTTAGCAAAATGTTCTTTTTAGCATGATAGATTAAGAAATGTTTTACATTCTGTCCATTAAAAATATGTATAATGTAGAAAAAGTTACACAATGCTGCAATTTGCAACTGCAGATTGCCAAGACATGACCAAGAGCTGACATTTGCACTCTATTTTCTAACCCATTTCAGAAAAGCCACATCCTCACCCGTGCTTCCCCAAAACCACCCTGCAAGAAACCCAACTACAGCATTTCCTTGGGCACAACTTCCTTTGCTGAAGGAAAGACTGCAGCCACGAGCGCTGCACAAACCACTCGGCCACAGGCTGAGAACTCAGCGCGTGGCCACAGACGGGCAGGGGGCTGCAGCTGTTCCTTCACAATGCAAAGTGTACGACAAAATGTACGTCAGCTCTACTCAGCTCTGGTGAGGCCGCACCTGGAGYACTGTGTTCAGTTCTGGGCACCCCAGTATAGGAGGGACGTGGAGCTTCTGGAGAGGGTCCAGAGAAGGGCAACCAGGATGATTAAGGGAATGGAACAGCTCTCGTATGAAGAGAGGCTGAGTGAGCTGGGCCTGTTTTCTCTGGAGAAGAGAAGGCTCAGGGGGGATATGATTAATATGTATAAGTTCAGGAAGGGAGAATGCAGGGAGGAAGGGGACAAGCTGTTCTCAC